ACTCGTCTTACAGTTTGTCAACTCGTGTATTTTACCTATTCTTCTTTACTGTTCACCCTTGCTTATTCTTTCCTGGATTGCTTAAAAAAGACTATGTCATACTTCGTAGAACTCTGAAGACTGGCAGTCAGTAGGGTGAGTGGTATGCTATCCCATTGGGCCATATCGTTGACATTGTCACTGATAGGCACTTGATGTCATGTAACAAATTTGCTAAAGGAGTTTTGTCAGATTCTGAGCACCCACTCTACCCGCAGCTCCAACCTTGTGTCTCTTCAGGTAAAACAAGAAGTCTTTTCGGAAGACTTTATGCACGTACGTCTAAGTATATAAATTCCACTATACCATATTTGGCATTTACTTTATGTGATGAAAATAGTGTCACCCATGAACTAATTAACCTTCTTTGCACTATTAAATAAACCATTTCTTCCACCCTTACAGTACCAAACTTTATTGTTATTGTATTTCTTATATTTATAATCCTCTCAATTTTTTATAAAGTTATATTTGTAAAATCTCAGCGAAATTGAAATGATTAATTCCAACGTTTCGTTCGGCAATCTGGTCCGAACTTCTTCAGGGAAATTAATCGAAATAAACATAACAAAGTTTATATATAAAGGGACACATCTTGTCTTTTTAAATTTTGTCCAATCATGAGTCATGCAACAGGTATCAATATGTATAATAAATAAATAGAATTGTATGTTTACTAAAAGTACATCTCTTATTTTTAAATATGGATCAATAGGTATACTAAACAAAACAAAACAAAGTAACTGTGGCCAAGAATCTGATCAACAGAGCCAAACGTCTAGTTACTGAGGAGGAAGATATTAACGAGGAACTAAAATTAGTTCAATCCACTCTTGAGTCAAATTATTATCCTAAAGCCTTCATAAAAAGATACTTAAAATGTGAAGATAAGGATGAGTCAAAACCTGCTGCTAAGAATTGGGTTAGTACAGCGGTGGTTCCTCCCCGCAAAGAAACATCCGATGAAATAAAGCGAATCCTTAACGAACATAACATAAGAGTGTACTTTCGTGCATCTAACACCTTACGCTCATTACTGGTGAAGGTTAAGGATAAAATAGAACAAGAAAACCAGCAGAATTGCGTATACCAGATCAATTGTGGGGATTGTAACGCAGTATATGTAGGAGAAACTTCTAGACAGGTAAATATAAGAATGAAAGAGCATAAACAATGTCTAAAGGTGGTTCCAAAGAGCTCTGCAGACTTGAAGAAGCTAGAAAACAACTCAGCGATTGCACTGCATTCAATAGAAACGGGACACAAAATCGACTTTGATAAGACTAAGGTTTTACAAAAAGGTTTTGGTTCATATCAAGAAAGACTGACTGCAGAAGCCCTACATATATGGGTGAATCCCAACAGTTTAAACAGACGTGAAGGTGTGATGTTAGCGGATGCATGGCAAATCCTGACTAATAAACAAAATAAAATTTGATATGTATGAACAAGTAGTCACACTTGGTCAAATTCCCGATTGTCTACGTCTTCTTATGGAGAGAATAACAAATCTATAAAAATTAAATTATATTTATAAAAATGTCAATTATTTTGTAACTATCCGGTCAAATCTTGATCACAGCTCATATGAGAATAGCAAATGTCTTATGACTGTTCCACCCACCCACCCACACACACACACCATTGTATCCTGCACATATTTTAACAAAAGTAGACAAATTTTGAAAGTCTGAGGTCAAAATGTTTTTGACCATAGTTCATACAATTTTTGTTTTGTTTAGTATACCTATTGATCCATATTTAAAAATAAGAGATGTACTTTTAGTAAACATACAATTCTATTTATTTATTATACATATTGATACCTGTTGCATGACTCATGATTGGACAAAATTTAAAAAAACAAGATGTGTCCCTTTATATATAAACTTTGTTATGTTTATTTCGATTAATTTCCCTGAAGAAGTTCGGACCAGATTGCCGAACGAAACGTTGGAATTAATCATTTCAATTTCGCTGAGATTTTACAAATATAACTTTATAAATGTCTACTCCTCACTCAGCGCTCAATTATTTTGCAACTATCCGGTGAAATCTTGATCACAGCTCTCAATTTTTTGTTTATTTTTTTCATAAGTGTGAACATCATTTAAGCTGTGTTAATAACTGCTAATTTTATATTTACCCTCGCTATACCATATCAAAATATCACTGGATCCAGTAATCTATAACCTGTTAAAGTTTCCAAACTGAATCGACAATACCGTTTGAAACAAACTCATTGTTATTTTTATTATATTTAGTAATCTCATTTCGTGCCTCGAATATTTTTGACTTTATATCGCAAACGTGGACAAATTCCTCTGGTTACTTTTGTTTTAATTTTATTTATATTTTGAGTAAATCAGATGCACTATTGTGACAAATGGTGAGAATTCCATTCTGTATTATAAGTAATGTTTTTGGAATAAAGTAAATTATTATTATTAAAGATTAATTGCTGTTATTATTATCATTAATAAAATTTAAAAAACAGTAAAGACTTATCAAGTTATAACTAGGGTGGTGAAGATTAGTAATTTTAGACTAATGGTTGTGAAGCACGAAGAAAATGCTCAGAAAAATTAAAGATTAGGATAAAAGCTATCGAGAGATATTTTCTCACATAGTATAGCAAACACTACAAAAGATATTACAGTTTTGTAAAAACAAAATGCTATAAAATACTTTTAAAACAGCCAAATGTAACGTCTGGTTTGATTACAGAATTCAACTAAACGTGTAATACAAAATCAGCTGTTTGAGGAAATACAAATTGTAATTGACCACCTTCGTCTTACCTATGCATGTATACTGAGACGAAAGAGAAGGAAGTTTGATTTGCACTAACTCATATCCTCGCCCGAAGAAATATTAATAACGAAATATTGGTAATGGTTGATATTGGGAGGAGGTCAACTCGAGTTTTCTACAGGAAATTGTTGATTTTATTAATTCACATGAAAATATAACCACATTTCACACAATCTAATCAGTTCTATTGAGAACTGTTGACTGTATTAACTCTCTAAGCTCTTAGAACTTATCATTGGTATTATCATGTGGCGAGAGCTATCTGCGAGGTGGAATTGTAGACAACAATTTACGTCAATGTTCAAGTCCAGAATAGGGGTCATGAGAAAAAACAATAACAAAGCTTAGCCTTGAGGAACTCATCAACCAATCACAGCAGACTTAACGTGCTGGATGTCTTATTTTTCCCATCTGATTGTAATTGATCAATAACACTCGTATTATTATTATTTCTGAATGTACATTATCCCATATTGATTTTTATTCAAATATCCAGTCAATTCCACACGTTTAAGTAAATCAAGGGAAAATGTTGTGTGAGTAACTTGATATGATTATGAGCACTCACTGAGAAATGCAGGTACATCCAGTTGACGAGTCACAAATAGGACGAAATGCGCATCCTGGATTCCACTGCTAGCCATCATCCACCAATTGTATGTTATGAGCAATAGTTTGTGCTCGAAACGTGGTCATCAGTTAATATTACTATCTGATTTATCAAAATAAAATCTTATCCATAATGGAATTATATTCTACCATCACAGTGCCCAAGTTTTATACGTACATTAGTAATTTCACCTTGAACGATTCCCAGTATTATCTAATCTGTCACCTATATTTAGTTGATTCAATATAATTGTTTTAGCGATGTCTTATCATAATTATCACCTTGTTGCATAAAGTTCTAATTGTCTACTAATCTTATTATTTGAACGCCCCCCATTTGCGATATATATATTCCATTAATTTATTATTTCATTAAGTACGTGACCAATTAATTATTTTTGTCGCAATTCATATAATTATAAGTAGTAAAATTTATACATACACGATTATAGAGCTTGAGAATAAATTGGTTGATAAGAGTCTCTTCACTGAACCACCTGTTTCGATTTTCTACATATCCCATAATGAGAATTTTTCGTGAAGTATAACGACCTAAGAAAACGACCAACCAAAATCAATCTATAAAAAATTATATTTGTAAAATCTCAGCGATATTGATCATAGATGCCTACGATCTCTTTCTCACGTTAGGTGGTATAATAAGGTAAGTAATGTTGACGTTAGGCGTAGTGTTTTGCAAAGAGGGAGAATCAATCGACGAGGCTATACAGTTACATAGACTAAGATGGCTAGGTCACGTGCTACGCATGCCTAACCATCGCCTCCCCCGACGGGCATTACTAGCTGATATAAGTGCAGGTTGGAAAAGAGTAAGTGGTGGCCAAACAAAAAATGGCCTCATCAATCCATGAAATCCTTGACAGTTAAACTGAGTCAGGCAGGAAGATGCAGACTTCCGGTTTGGGGCCCTCGGGACTCTAGGAATCAATGGCTGGAGACAATAGGTGACATGGCTCAAAATCGTTGTCAATGGCCAGCGCAGATGTATTCAGTCTCTGTAATCTTTCATATTCCTTTCTACCATTACCCATTCTGTTTCACTCTTACACCTGTCAAACTCTATTGATTCTCTCCACACATCTTGTCTACTTTTGTGTGCTATTTGGAACATGGGAACTCGAACTGCTGCACTTCAGTGCAGAGTTCTATGTTGACTCCAGACAGACAGACAGACAGACGAGTTGCATTACGAAACCATTTAAGCGGTCTTCTGGTGAAAACCAAAAAAAAACTGATTGTATAAGGAATTAATGAATTTCACGGAGCGGTGAACTCATCAAGACGTACAACAACACAAAATGAAGAAAAATTTTTTTTCAAAAATTATTTACAACTCAAAGTAACAGTGAAACTACAATGGAGTATGAAAGTCTTGAAGCAATACATATAGTAACTTTTCCTAAATAATGGAACTTTCAAAATAAATTATTCATCAATGAGAAATATACAACTCAATAAGATGGTGAAATGCTCTAGTCTAAATTAACTATAAACTATATATATATACATAAATCCTCTTATTGTTCACACACTGGTTTCTTAGGTAAAGCTAATCCAACCATTTTGGCGGCTTCTTCAGTTGTCTTTTCTTTCGTCTTATATAATTCTACAAGTTCCTAAAAAAAAAAAATAGTAAAATAGTAAAAGACATGGAAAATATATCAACGTAAATGTTATATACACAAAAAACTGTAGTGAAACAGGAAGACCAAAGTGTACTGTCACTTATAAGGACATCCGTTGTCTTGCTTGAGCCATAAGTGATGCAGCTTGGCAAAAACTAAACTACTTTTATATGTTCGTGTAGACGTAAATACCGAAATGAATGGAAGAGTCGATAGATTCAACCCCTTCACTCCTTATACCTAGACCTTTCCCCAGGCGTGCATGCGATAAACCACGGTAATTTGTTCAGGAAATAAGGGCTTTTGTGTTTTATTTAACCAGGATCTTTGAATAACTAATACAGATGTTAGAACAAGACATATAGGCGAACAATATTGTTTTCAATTAGATCTTCATCAGGCTTTACTCTAATTTATACAGATTTATATATAAAAATTTTTAACCAATGACGGTGATTTTGTGGATCAATTAATAATAGTGTGGTAAATGTTTTGAACGTAGTTAATAACGATGATTATAATGATAACAAAATGTTGATAATTAGGTTTATGCAGATGGCGATAAGAATAACAAAGGTAGTAATATGTCTATATGTAGATAATTCAATAAATAAATTAGGTCAAATCTTAAAAGTTACGCAATACTAATGGTAGGCAAAGTGGACAGATAATCAGAGTTTAAATAAATATGATAAAAATACGAAGGAGATGGAAAATATGAAAGGGTGGAAGGGTTTTGAATAGAATTCACCTAGGCTAAGCAAGGGAGAGACAAAGGTAAAACAAACTTCTTTTATTGTATGCAAAGACTACGATTGTTCTGTCGAATCAGTTCCCATAGCTTCGGCTATGTGTAAAAGACGGATTCGAATTCTGTTTGAAAGGCTCGATAAAATCAGATAGATAACTTTGAAGGCACTTCTTCTTCTGTCCACTTGGTGACCGCTACCAATCAAATGAGCCAAAGTAGAACTTGTTATAGATTTTATTTGATCTTTTCCGAATCATGAAGGAAGATGTTCATTAATGCGTTTTTTTAAATTGTCTAGTTTTTTGCCCTGTATAGCTCTCCACAGGAGCAACTAAATTTGTAGATACACATGGAAGTGGCACAACTAGGTAGCTTGTCTTTCACTTGAGCAATCAAAATTGGTCGACTGGAAAATGACAAACAAAGGGTGGCGGTAGTATAAGTCCATTTTATCGCTCTCGATAATCTCAGATGTAAGACTTAGCTAGCCACGTCCCCATTAAATTGGAGTTTCATGAACAATTGTTTTTTTTTTAACGCCTCCAAAGCCTCAAGGTGGTCGGGGGTGGGTGTCTTGCGCTGCGGGTTGGCCACCCCTCCGTACACCTTTCGAAATGCTCCCATATGACCGGGCGTCTTACATAGCCTCTCCTGAGGAAGTCCTACTCACTGCCTTCACGTGGCGGAGGTGTTTTTCACCGAAGTGAGAGGGCAAAACCGGATGCCCGGCGCTCTTCACCGGGTTGACTGTTCATTGGATGACAGTCTGGGGGAGATGGCTAAACCCTGATTCCAAACCTCCAACGACTGGCGTATGAAGCTCACCGGCAGACGTATGGACAAAGGGCTTATTGGATGCCCTGGATAACTGGCCCCATTCAAAAAGGCGAATGAACCGGACTCCGGTTACCGGCTGCCAATGGATAGTGGACTCCCTACTCCATTCCTACTGCCTTGTAGGTCACACTTGGTTGTGTAAAGGCTAGAGCTGCACTCTCAAACAAAGGCCGAACGATCCTGGGGACATCACTCGTACCCAATTCCCATGAAACTTCATGGTTCATGAAGCCGGCTCATCCTCCCGTAGGAGATAGTCGAAGTAAAGTAAGTAAGTTTCTTTTTAACTGTTGTCAGTTTCTCTTTATTGAACCTGGTATTCATGTGTCTTCTTACAAATCTACTAGGAAGACCCATTTGGACCAACGTATTTTGGATGTGTCCTAACTCATTTTCTAGGGAGTCATCTGTACAGATACGTATTGCTCTATTCGTGAGGCATCTAACCAAATTGACCTTGTATCGGATTGGTACAAAAATGAGGAAATTTGTATATCGTCCTACAGATGTAGGTTTTCTATAGACATCTCTCTTGAGTGAACCATTCTCTCTTCTGCTTAATTGAACCTCCAGGAAATGTAGTCTACCATCATGTTCTTCTTCACAAGTGAAAATGAGCGATGGATGTGCATCATTGAATTTTATTAAGATTTCATTCTTGTCAGTTTTCACATCAAGAATAATAAACGTATGACCAACATAGCGAAAATGAGAATCAGTTTTTTCGATTACTTGTTTCAATAGACCAATTTCAACCTTAGCAAGAAAGAAATTTGTCGAAATTGGCCCCAATGGCGAGCCCATGGCAATGCCGTCAATTTGTCTGTAGTAAAGGTTGTTGAATGTGAAGTGTACATTTATAGTACATCTTAAAAGCAACTCTTTCAGACTAATAACTGGAATTCCGATGTCGATCTGTTTTTCTAGTAGCTGTTGGCATATGAATTCCACAGTCTCCATAAGTGGTACATCGGTGAACAGTGATGCTACATCTAAGGATAGTATTTGCTTCCCATTTACATTGATATCATCTACATTGGCAATGAATTCAAAAACGTCTTTAACATTATGATTTACTACCATCTTGTGTAGCACGTTTATTTCAAACTGATGCTGAAATGCGGGTTGTTACAGGAAACTTGTGAGAACTCTTATATATATATATATATATATATATATATATATATATATATATATATACTCGGACACTTCATACAACCATCAATTTGCTTTCTTAATAGTTCACAACTAGCACACACGAAGACTAAAGGAACAATGTGCAATCTAGATCCAGAACGATAATTCAGCCCATAATACCTTTGACAGAAACCGTAGAGAATGAACAGAAATGATAAGAGGTCTAGCCCCGACCGATAGCTGCTACCTTGACGTGGTGGTCGGACTTGCACATCGCGATGACCAAACAAGCTACAGTGGCTGGAACGAATGTTCCTGCAGGTCCTACCATCCCAGGAAGGTTGTTAGGATAGCGATTAGACTAAAAGCAGTTACTGCCGGCATTGTGTAAGAATCTTCCTTACACTTTGCTGGGGTCTGAGGGCGAAGTCGTACTGCTGGGGAACAGGGGTGTAACAGCAGTGAGATGTTTCTCTCAGATGACCAGCATGCCAGCTATGCTGTTTCTCCACTCCGGAGAGAAGGGGTTAAAAAGGTCGACCCCAAAAATTGTACATCTCGTAACCGGCGGTAAGTGTACTTATACGGAACCAAACCAAGAAACCAGTTCATACAGGCCGTGTGTGATCGGCCTCAAGCAGTTGTCCCCTGGGCTAACCCTCTTTCTGTTTCAGGTACCCGAAGAATCAATCAACTTCCACGGTGTGGGCAGCCCGGAAGTAACAACCATCCACACACTTCCAAAAGCACACGAAGTCTTCCTGAGCATCATTCTCCTTTACTCACATTACCTTCCTCATCTTGCTTCTCTACTACAGTTAGTACTATTCTGCAGGCTAATGAGTCATCTTTACTCCACTCTGTGACCACAAACAACGATGAGAGCCATAGAAACACACCAGACAGAGGTCTAGCAGCTTATAAAAGTAAATATGAGGGAAAAAAGATCATTTTGAAAATAGTGAATGCCTTACTAAGTTATCAATTTAAACTGCATTCAACTTACAAAATCCATACAAACAAATCTTACGAAATGATTTAGTGATAAATGTGTGTAAAAGAAACTACGAGCATTGACTAAGTTACAGCATATATGTGTAGACTGAAAGAAAGGAATGCGGATCTTATATCACTGTGGGCCGCATAGAAAGTTTAGATAGTAGTCCCTTCACCCCATGATTTATATGTGCAATTTCCTTGCACATATGAAATTTCTAAAAGACATTATAATAATATTTGAAAATATCTGTTAGCAAACTTCAAAGTTTTCGCCTACATACCACCCACTTATCATCTGGATATACTTCTATCACAACAAATACATTAGACACTTGACTGAGTGTTCGACGCAGAACTTTGTACAAAAAAAATTAAATGGAGAGTAATAACGAGTTTGAACAAAGAAAGAAGAAACATTGGCACAGAATAATCTGGATCCATTTTATTCCGTTGGATCTCATCAGCTGCGTGCAACCTGAATTCTCTTTATTAATAACAATAAAAAGTGTACAATTTTAACAAATCTTTATCCATTAGCAAGCATACTGTCATAGCGTCATAGTAAAATAAGATCAAAATTTTACAATTTTGGTGCACATGAGGTCAGAAGAGAAGTTGTTAATGTAACACAGTGACAACGTTCACCACGCTGGTGAAAACGCTTTTCTCTAGAGCGAAGAGAATATGTTCATGTTATGTACTCGTCTCTAAATTATTGCTATGTACTGGTCGAGAATTTAATAGTCCTGACGCAAGAAGGCGGAAATCAGAAGACTAGTAGGTTTGCGATGGTACTTCTATTTTCCAAACACAAGGAGAAGCAATAAGTGGTATCACACCAAAGAAAGTGTCACACAAGATTGTGAGAGCGAAATATGTATGAATGTCCAACCAAGTGTGTGAACAAATCAATAGACAGTCTTAACATGAATGGCTAATTATAATGAAGTATCGATCCATATATACATAGAAAAATATAGAAGACATGTCAACAACCACCATATATGGATATATGTCACCAAGCAACGGACTGTCAACAAACACTCATATTATATATAATATAAGGGGAATATACATTGTTAAAGGAGACAGGTTCATCAAAGTTAAATGGTCACAGACTAAAAGAGACCACCATATATATATATATATATATATATATATATATATATATATGGATACATATCAGTTCACCAGACAAACTAGAAAGTGAACTAATGCTTCTTGAAAAATGCTTGAAAATGGTTACCCACAAAGTTTCATTAACAAATATTGCAAGAATGAACTCAACAAGCTTGATACAGCTACAGTCAGTAAGAAGCCTATTTTCATCAAACTTGACTATAAGGGCGACGACATTATGAGAATGGTTAATAAAACATTAAGCGAAGCCCTGTCTAGGACGTATACTGCAGCGTTATTAGTCTCTCCATCCCGAACAACCTCTTCATTGGTGCAGTCACAGATTGACAAGTACCCCTCACATGTTACCTCTAACTGTGTATATCAATTCACATGTATCTGCGGGAGCAGTTGCACCGGAAGAACAGAGAGGAGGACATACGTCAGATTCTGCGAACACGTACCAAGGAGCCTCCGGTTGAGGGACCGAATTGTTTAGGCTCTTCAATCGCCAAACACCTGATTGACACAGGACACCGAGTAGATGTGCTGGAATCATTCAAAATAATTAAAAGACAAAGTACCCCAGATCTTCTCAGGTTTGCTGAAGCTATAGCAGTAAAACGATTGAAGACTGATTTATGTGTCCAAAAAGAAACTGTTGTTGGACTTCAATTACCCTGGTGACCCACTTCTTAGTAACTCTTTGTTTTCTAATTTTGTTAGCTTATCTTTTCACTCCACCCCTCCCTTTATTTTTCGCTTGACTCTCTTAAAAGATCATTTTTCTTGATCTTCTGAGTTCTACTGTGTTACATCATCAACTTCTCATCTGACGTCATGTGCACCAAAATTGTAAAATTTTGATCTCTTATCTAATTACGTAACTATTGCTAATTTTCTTTTGTTACCACCCCAACAACACAGTTGTTAATAAATTTTTTTCAAGTAACTTCTCTCTACCAATATATATATATATATATATATATATATATATATGTATATATATTTGTATGTCGTAACACTTTAGACACCCTGCAAATCTCAACGCCTTATTTTACTATGACGCTCTGATAGTATGCTTGCTGATGGACAAAGGTTTGTTAAAATTGTACACCTTTTATTGTTATTAATAAAGAGAATTCAGGTTGTACGCGGCTGATGAGAACCAACGAAATAAAATGGATCCAGATTATTCTGTGCCAATGTTTCTTCTTTCTTCGTTCAAATTTATAAAAGCGAATCACTCTATGTAATAACGAGTTAATGGATCTGAGAAATTACAAATAGTGAAGTTATTCCTGCATTTAATAATAATTTTGAACCACATCACCCACAGTCTCCAGTCATTGGTTCTTAGATTATCAAGGATTCCAGTAGGGTAGTCTACACCTTATGCGGCTTAATACCAACAGTCAAAGAACTCGTGGATTGATGTCATGCTTTGATTCAAATACAGCTAACACTTTTCTTACTTGATCCTGTCAGCTAACATAGCTCGACGAGAGGGGCGATGACAAATACAACATGTGTTGTAGCCATCACAATCTATGCAGCTTCACAAACTCACCAACTGAAAGCGATTTACTTAATGACTTGGTATGGTCAACATGTGAACAAATAACCTTCACAAATTCATAGTACAAGTCTTAATTACTGAGGAGTATTAAGATAACTTCTCTCTCTCCCTAAAAGAAAAACAGTAAAGTCTGATCGCAAAATCGTGCCTTTTTAAAGTGTGACAAATTCTGTATAAAGTTTGACTGATGTTTGTCTATTTCTATCAGCCTTAAACGTGACACTGACTCATTCGATCAGACAGTCAATTTTAAACCAGTAAGTCACAGGTTTGAACTCCGTTTCGCAATGTAATATGATCATTCTATAAATATGACTCGTTTCTCAGTGTATCACAACATGTATTTAATTGTTCAGTAAAATTACACTATTTCATATCAGGCCTAAACACATCATACGAAAGTCTTTCTTTCCTTCACTTTCCCAGTGGAACATAGGGCTTCAAGCTAATGGCTTGAAGTTTCTGTAGCAGTGTTTAATTTTACAGGATGGGGTTGCTAGCCTCATACCTGACCTTTCCTCTTTACCAGCATTATTCCTGAATTATTAATGAGGTAAAGGAGTGCGTCGGTGGCCGGGGATCGAACCCCAGACCATGTGCATGGTCAGCGAGTGTCTTAACCGCTGTGCCACCGACGAAAGTTGCTGAAGTACAAAATGAAATATTGGCACCGTGACCAGATGGAAATTTCTTACGAGAATAATACTACAGCTTAAGGGTATTTTATTGTTTTTTCAACAGGATGTTTTACGATACTGTAAAACTACGATTCAGTACACTTTTCTAGCCTGAACATAATTTCACTAATGTATGCCCCAATACTCTTTACCTGGAACATGAAATTGATATATTCACTGAGGGGGAAAGAACATATTTTTAGAATACAAATACAAGAGAATATTGAATGACACCACCAATCTTCGAAATAAAAACGTATTTACCGAATGTTTTCGTCTATTCTCCAAATAATTCAAGTATGTTTGAGCTAAATGAACAGCTTCATTTTCCCTAGCACATTTCTGAGCATCTGTTAACTGGTTATTTCTGAATTCCGAAATAACGAATTGCATTACTGGTGAATATGAAAAAGGCTAAAGAATCAGGAATACTTTATTAGGCAACCAGAAGACAACAGCAACTTACCGCATTTCTTTCCTTAACAGATCGACGAAGTTCGCGGAGTATATTTCGAAACAACTGGATTCTAGACATTGTATCATCAAGTATTTGGGAGTAAGTTTATCTGTAGTAAAAGTAGAGATCATTATTAGCAAGTAGAAACAACACATTCGTGAAACACTAATAGGAATAAGAAATCCAAGCTTGAAGCTCCACAAACTTCATCAATTTGTTTAAAAAATGACAATCAATGAAAATTTTCATCCATTTAGAACCCTGTCTGTCTGTCTGTTTTCGACATAGAACTTTGCACATATGTGCGGCAGTTCGAGTCGCCACACTACATGTAGCACCCGAAGCAAAAGAAGAAAGTACAAGAAAAGCATAATAGAGGCAGTAAACAGAGGTGTGAGACAAACGAAGAGTAATAACGAAGAACAAAACAGTTTCACTGGAAATCATAAGTCACAAGGAGTGGACGCATCTGCGCCACTGAGAACGATTTTGAGCCATGTCACCAATTGTTTCCAACCATTGATTTTTACCGTCCCGAGGACACGAACCAGTCAGGAAGTCTACACCTTCCTACGTAGCTTAGACTAACTGTCGTAGGTTTCATTGACTGATGCCAAGTTTTTGTTTGACCCCCGCTAGCTTTCTTCCAGCCTGACCCTATATCCGCTAACATTGCTCGTCGAGGAAGGCGATGACTTGGCATACGTAACACATATCATAACCATCTCAGTCTTTGTAACTTCACAACTTCGTCGATTGATTTCCCCTGTTCACCTAGAACTCGACGCCTGACCTCAATATTGCTAACCTTATTATACCACTTCACACGGGAGATAGAACGCAGGCGCCTATGATCAAAGACAGCTAGTCTTTTCATGTCTTCCACTCTCAGTGGCCAGGTCTCACAGCCATAAAGGAGGACGGAGCGGACTGATGAGCAATACACCCGCCCTTTGGTCGATAGTCGAACATCTCGTCTACGCCAGAGTCGGCGTAAACTAACAAATGCGAAACGAGCCCCTTGTATTCGTGCTGAGATTTCGTCAGAGATCAGCCCGTTGGGGCTGATGGTACTTCCCAAATAAGTGAAGCGGTCAACGTGCTCTACCACTTCACTTCCTATTTTTAAACTAGGCGTCGCTGTAGTCCAGTCCTGTAGCATCATCTTACATTTTGCAGGGGCGAATCGCATGCCAAACATACGAAGATTGCTGCTCAAGGTGTTCAGAAGACTCTGCATTTTGTCAGCGTCCTCGCCAAGAAGGACTATATCGTCTGGATATTCTAAGTCAACGAGATTATCCCCTGGTAGCAAGTCAATCCCTGAGTCTCTGAAGTCACTTAGGGTTAAGTCCATTAGTACATCTATGATGAAGTTGAATTGAAATGGGGATAATAGGCATCCTTTAGGGACACCACTAGTTGTCACCACTTGAGATGACAACTTGCCGTAAGCCCTCACCTGGCTGTATGAGTACGAGTAGAGTGCTTTAATCAGTGCAATGTATTTTCTCGGCATTTGCTTTACGGCCAAGTATCGCCAGAGAACCTCTCGGTCGACACAGTCGAATGACGCCTTTAAGTCAAGAAATATAATCATTGTTGGACGCCGGTAGGAATGCCTATGTATTTAGAACACTAAAGAAGTCAACTTGAAAAAATTTTAAGGAGAAAATTTCCCGCTGTTATAAGAATCATTGAAACACTGATGAAATATAAATATCGAAACTCTCTTATAATGCATAATTAATTCTGTAATTCAACTAGTTCATGTTAGTACACCTTCCAATAGAATAGTTTGGAAAAGAGAAACGGTGGACAAAACAAATTATTATTATTCTTTAGAGTTCCGGGTGAGATAGATGGATTCGACAACACACTAACTGACTGGTCTCAACGTAGACTTCTGCACAGATGTGCACCAGTTCGAGTTACCACACTCTCTTCATGTAGCACAGAAAGCAAGAGAAGAAAGTAAAAAGAAATGCAAAATAGAGACAGTAAACAGAGATATGAGCCAAAAGAATAGTAATATTGAAGAACCATACACTCTTATTAGGAATTATAAGTCACAAGGAGTGGATGCATCTGCGTTAGCCATTGAGAACGATTTTGAGCCATATCACTGATTGTCTCCAGCCAATGGTGTTTTTGTCCCGAGGACCCCAACCAGCCAGCTAGTCTACACCTCCCTACGTGGCTGACTTAAACTAACTGTCGTGGATTTCATTGGCTGATGAAACCATGTTTTGGTTTGACCGCCGCTAGCTCTTTTCTAGCTCGATCCTAAGTTAGCTATTATTGCCAGTCCAGAGAGGCGATGGCTAGGCATACGTAACGCATCTCTTAACCATCTCAGTCGATGTAACCTTACAGCCTCGTCTATTAATTTAATTTCAAACTCATATGCTCTACCGCAGGTACAAAATCTCTTAATGAAGTGAGTCCAACCAAATAATTAGTTTATTGGTGGTTAAATGATTGTGGGATACAAAGTACGAAAGTAGACTGCTAACCATTATCAAATAAGTAAGACATAATAAGCGCGATGTGGATGACTTATGTTTGATGTCACACAAAATGGAAGACTTACAAGCGAAAACCGACAAACTGGTTGAAGAAGCAGCCAGCGAAGACAGGACTCCAGGTGAACATAGACAAGACGGAGGTTATGAAAATAACTAACCAACAACAAAAAAAGCAGCAGCAACATCCAGCGCCAATCACCATCAATGGGAGGGATTTGAAAGAGGTTACTTCATTCACTTATCTAGGGAGCATTGTCTCAACTACAGGAAAAAAGGAACGGACGAGGATGTCAAATCGAGCGAGAATCGGGAAGGCGAGAAACACATTCATCAAGCTGAAATCAATCTGGAAATCTTCGTCACTCAGCCAGCATCAACAACAAAATTCGGTCGGATTTTCAATACAAAGGTCGAGTCAGTCAGTTCTTCTATTCCGATCAGAAACTTCGCGGGCAGGTCACAAAGAATATTTCCAACAGGTTGCAGACCGTCATCAACAACTGTCTTCGCTCTAGACTGAAGATCAGATGACCGGGCCGGAAAGAATCACCAACAAGAAACTATAGGAACAAACAAAACAAGAACCAATCGCCAACCAACAAATATGAAGGAGAAAGTGGATATGGATTGGACACTCACTGAGGAGGCCGCTGGGTGACATCGTGCGCCAGGCCCTCGAGTGGAGCCAGAAAGGGAAGCGGCGAGTGAGACGTCAGTGCAAGGGTGACATGGAGAAGATCGTGTGAAGAGAAATTGAAACAGTATGGACTAAGATGGATGCAGGTGAAAAGTACAGCAGAAGACAGAAGCAAGTGGAGACGTGCAGTTGAAGCCCTATGTTCTACTAGGAACCCAAGGGAACAATAAAAAATTAAGCGCGATGTCAGTTTCTAGAGAGTGAAAGTCTACAAAAAATGTATTACTTCTAAATTCTAAACTAATTTACCTAAATGCGAGGATTATGTTTGCACAGATGTACTAAATGAGTGTCCTTAGGGAACCACAATGGGAACCATTTTGCTTTTGTGCTACTACAGTAGATCAGCCAGATTAATTAGGTTATTGCCCTTGCTATTCGTAGATGATACTAAAGTTTTCAGATAACGCAAATCACACCCAAAACTTTCCTTCCTACGAAGAACCAGAAAATGTTCAACAGTGATAGTCTAAGCTTGGAGTGGATATATATTTCAAATATTTTTACGGTCCACGGGCTTCAGTGTATAAATCTATAGGTGTACCTCTTTAGACAACTTCAAACTATATGGACCCAAAACTAACAAACAGAGAGGGATTGACATTGGTCAACCAACCAGATGAGTTCCTAGTAGGTAGACGGAAATATACATGCCATACACGAAGTAAATTGCAATTTATGAATACTGCCTCTTGACGGTACCGTCGAGATAACAGGCCATTTGTTCTCGATTTTTATTAGAAAAGTTTTAAAAAATGGCTAAAAAAAGGCCAAGTTTTGCGTCTTTTCACTCTTCTCAACAGAAAATAGAGACTTAGAAAAAATGGACCACTACCACACGAAATGCCTAACTAACTTACGTAGCGCAGTTGTTCACAACCCGCTCACTCACAGAGCTTCGTGTTGGAATGCTGGTCTGGGTTTATTCACCTTCACCAGCTATCATCATTAAAAAATTCCGGCCTACCCACGAGGCTTTTGCATCTATTCAGTTAAGAAGTCCTAGATGGGTAACTACGTGTAAAAATGTCCACTTGGAAGGACAAGAAAAATCCACATTTTTGACTAACGAGAGGGAAACAGCCAGTCTACGTTATTTCATCTCTATTAATTATCTATGCCTGTTCACCACTATCACAAACACAGTTGTTACTGGCTCACATGCTTCTTGGAGTCCCTTCCTACGCGTTAATGATTTTGAAGTACAATATCCAGGTTGATATAAACACATTAAATTTTTTGTCCGCCTCACATTAACCAGGTCATCTAGTTAGTCTCTGTATGCTTCGGGCATTATAAGCTTTCTTTCGACGAGAGTGTATCCGGGCAGTCTAAGATGCTGTTTTTTACCTCCCTTAGTTTCGGTTACTTCCGTAGTCTCATATTCAACCATAGTGCGTCGATTGCACAGCGCTTAGGATGCTCACCGACCATGTACATTGTCCGGGGTTCGATTCCCAGCAGACACATACCTGATATCAATGTTCAGCCTGCTAAATTACGGCTACCGATATGACATGCTTAAAATTCCACACTTGTACTTAAGTATACTGTTTGAAATCAGGCTATAATAACATGTTTTAAATTAAAAAACTAATTAACAGTCAGGTAAGTTGAATAAGCTTTTCTTCAGCAATGCGGCTTCGTCTCTATTTCACTTTAGCATACAACGCTTTCCAGAGCTTAGTTAATCCAATCTCTTCTACTATCTCTTCTTTGTCAATGTCTACAGATTATGTTACATAGGGACAGCATCTGTTTCCCAAGTGAGTCGTGACAGCTTTATTAAACATTTATTTCGGTGCCCTAACTATTGTGCATGCAGAACTGGTAGGCCTGCGGCTTGAGGAACC